AACGGCCGAAAAATTCATGCGCGTGCGGATGTCATCCATATAATCAAATCAACATGGCCTTAGCTTCAATAATGGAGAAACTCCTAATTAATTGTGATTTATTGCATGTCCCGTACTGCACGACAACAAAGTACTGTTTGGTTTGTGGGTAATATTTACCTACGCTTTTGCCGGCGGTTCTTTCTTTGTCAGCATTTCTTGCGAGCGAAGCTCAACGTCCGAGAGAGGGAAGTCTTCCGTTTAAAACTTTACAGTATTTTACAGTATTCATCAAATTGGCGTAAATCGTACAGATTTGATAAGATTTTGAATAAAATAAAACTGAAATGATATTAGTTCAACACACTCCCATATATCGTCTGCAAAAGATAAAAACCCCGGGCAAGGGTCACCCAACCTAAAAGTAAAATTCTTTTGGTGTGTAGGTGTGTTCCGCAGTCTACGTGAACGAACTAAATCATTAACGTTACAAAGGAAGGGAAGTCAGAAACTAGACGAAAGTCGCTAGCCAAGAACAACAGGACCCAGTACATTTTGCCTATTCGCATTGTGTGTTTGAGAGATCTCTAAAGTACACCCCAAAGTACATGTATGTATGCGCGGTTTAGCTAGGTGTGCATTTTACTTACACTGACAGAAAATTTGATATCTCTTTAGACACAATTTTCAGGTTGGAAGATTTGTCTTTTGACAGGTGAAATGGTGACACGAATTCGAATGCACCTTGCTCTGGTAAATGTAATAAAATCTCATTGAACTCTACCACCCACAAAGGTAAACATTACACGCCTGAAGAGTAAACATTGTCACCAATTGTTCAGCACGGCTTCATTTTAGAGGCAACTTTTTAGAGCCTCTCCTTACTTTCGACAGCCACATCAACTCTAGTAGCGTAGCTGAGAGACATAAAGTTGAAGATCTAAGAGAGTTAGATATAAGAGCACCGACGGAGAGTTACATTTGTGCAACCCCGTGACTGGCTTAACAAATAACCGCAAGGTGTGTTCGGGTCACCTTGGTAATCTAGGAGGAAGTAGTAGGAGGAAGGAACAGTCAGTTTTTGATTGCCCGACCGCAAGACGACTGACAATGTACGGGGCTATAAGGAAGCTTGTGATTGTGCTGTTGACTATTGGTAAGTTGTTTTAAATTACTTTAATTTATTGGGGGTTGTACAAAATCCTACTACATGTACTTGTGAGGTCGGAAGTACTGTACCAAATGCCTAACCCAACTGAAAAGGCACTCGCGGTCGGACTTGCCTCTACCAGACTTCAGCAACGGCGGCTGGAAAGAGTACAACTTGTCGCTTTGAAAACTGTACTCCTTTAGCAGACCAAGTCCCGTCTATTTCGTCAATTTCGTCTTTTTTCTAGCCACCTCTGAAGCCTGGTAGAAGCCAGAAAATGAATGAACACTGGTTCGGAAATGGAACTCTAACAATTCATGCGCAGTGTTACTTGTACCAAGGACTTGAAAGAAAAGATTGAACTTCATTGCACGACAATTGTACATTGTACAAAGGAGACTAACCCCATGATAGTACAACATAACATGTGTATGATAATCGACTATTGAATCAAGTACAAAATGAAAAGGGTATAAAATGAGTTACTAAAACATAAAGTGCTAGACAGTGTATACTAGACAATCAAGTGGGGCTAATCATGAGTTTTATATTTTTGTTAGCTTACCATCATGTCCAAGCCGACTAATAAGACAGCATTTGTGTAATCTTTTCAATTCAAAGCTGGCTATGCTGATGAGGAAATGTGATATTGTATACACTGATAAGGTGTTCACGTCACCGGCGCCCTTAAAAATCGAAGGTTGGCAAAGGTCAGACAATGTGTACAAAACCTTAAGGTAACCATGCAGTACGTGTGGGGTACTGTAAGAATTGTAACATAAAGATTTCTTAAAAGCGATAGATGAGACATACGGTCATTCCCTTGTACTTATTATTACGACCAGTTACTGAGTTGAATATTTTGAATTCGCATCCAGTGACACAATTTGATACACTAGGTGTATTTTCACAAGCGAGGCAAATCAGATGTAGGGTACACACTTCCTTCGTAGTTCATTGTGATTTGAAATTTCTATTTTTTTTCTGACTCGTATTCGTAGGACTGGTAGCTAGGTGACGCCTGAGTTTACCATTTTAGAAATATTAGATGCGTCCAGAGTGCTCATTGAGAACTAAAAAGAAGTTTGAAAATCGTTCACGGCATTTTGGTCAACTTTTGGCATTGTGATGGTGGGTGGTACAGTGCAGGGTTTTGACTAAAAGTTGGCCAAAAATTGAATTTTTGTCTGTATTTGGTCTTGTTTTAATTATTGCGTCATCTGTAACACCACACCCCTCTTGCTGTTCTACTTGGTATCGACCTGGAACAAGGGGTCAAAGTGCACCCATGTTTACAAGGCCAGCTGAGCTTTCGAAAATTTTTGGGAAGGTTTGTAAGTACATAGAGGGCCTCTACAAACCTTCTCAAACATTTCGAAAGCTACAGCTCAGGGGCAGGACAAGCGTTAAGAATTGGGGAACCTGATCATTAAAAAATGGAGCACCTAAAGGTAGGCATTTGTAACCAAAGATTGTTAAAGATTAACACGGGATTATTTCTGCTCCAGGTATATCCAAAGACCATGGATTGTTGGTCAGAAGTTCCATAAGCAAATTATTGCCATTATAATGTTGTTATGATGTTATTATTACAATATAGTATAATGTAATCGTCTTTTATGCACAGGACTCCAGGAATTCTTAAGTACAATGTAAAGGCAACTGTTTGTACTAAATGGGTTCCTAATAAACATAAACATATATAAACATAAACATATATTACAAAGAATGTTAAACTCTGGCTGCATGTGACCACCCTAACTATAAATTTATTCTATCCACAGCAGTCACAACTACAGCAGCCAGCACTACAGATGTTCCCACGCCTATTGTTGTAACAACTTCAGCAGCCAGCACTGCAGATGTTCCCACGCCTATTGTTGTAACAACTACAGCAGCCAGCACTGCAGATGTTCCCACACCTATTGTTGTAACAACTACAGCAGCCAGCACTGCAGATGTTCCCACACCTATTGTTGTAACAACTACAGCAGCCAGCACTGCAGATGTTCCCACACCTATTGTTGTAACAACTTCAGCAGCCAGCACTGCAGATGTTCCCACGCCTATTGTTGTAACAACTTCAGCAGCCAGCACTACAGATGTTCCCATGCCTATTGTTGTAACAACTACAGCAGCCAGCACTGCAGATGTTCCCACACCTATTGTTGTAACACCTACAGCAGGTGACACCAGCGTGACACCAACCGATGCTACAGATGATTCAACGGAGACCTCTACAATCAGCAATGCCACAACGGGAAACAACATGACAGATGAATTTGCAGCAACGACAAATGTCACACCCAATGCAACAAGCAACAGTCCAGGCATTGTAACGGATACAACCAATGTTACAACTGTAGCAACTACAACTGTTACAGAAAACACAACAATGACGACAGACATTACAACAGGCATTACAACAGGCATTACAACAGGCATTACAACAGATACAACCAACATTACACCAGGTCCTGTAGCAACCACAACAGGCATTTCAACAGATACAACCAATGATACACCTGTAGCAACTACAACAGAAGATACAATGATAACAGACTCTAGCTCAGGCATTACAACAGATACAACCAATGTTACACCTACGACAACTACAACAGAAGATACAACAATGACAACAGACAATACCATAGGAATTACAACAGATACAACCGGCATTTCCAATACATCCGTGACGACTTCACCAATAACCACAACTTTGACAACAGCCAGTCATATGAACTCAATGAACGCAAGTACAACAACGACAACAGAAAGCATTATAAAGTCTACAACGGCTGCAAATACAACTGTAGCCACTACTATGGCAAGCACAACAATGACAACAGAAAACACTACAACTGTAAACTCTACAACGGATGCAAATTCAACTGCAATGACTACAGCAGCAAGCATGACAGTGACCACAGAAAGCAATACGAACTCTACAATGGGTGCAAATCCAACTGTAGCCACTATAGCAGCAAGCACAACTGCTACAACAACCAGTACTGTGCAAACTTCAACATCTCTGCCTACAACCACCACAGGAGAAGACACCACTATGGTTGAAGCTAGTACATACAGTACTACACAGTTGCCTTCAATAGCATCAACAATGATGACCACTTCAGCAGTAACAGATAAGGTAACAACAGTCAGTTCAACTGAAACTATAGAGCCTTCAACTCAAATCTCTACCATTGAGACCACAGAAACCTCAACTCAGACCTCAGCAATTGTAACCACAGTGCTCCCGAATCCAACAACTACTGATGACATGCAAGCATCCACACAAGGAACTACAGGAGTACAGAGTACAACAAGTTCTGTCACCACAACTCAGACTACCAAGGCTACAGAGCTGCAAACCACAGAGCTGCAAACCACAGAGCTGCAAACCACAGAGCTGCAAACCACAGAGCTGCAAACTACAGAGCTGCAAACTACAGAGCTGCAAACTACAGAGCCGCCAACTACAGAGCCGCCAACTACAGAACCGCCAAGTACAGAACTGCCAACTACAGAGCCACAAACTACACAGTCACAAACAACACAGCCACAAACTACTGAGGACACAGAACCTTCTACACACAAAACTACAGAAACACAAAGTACAACTAGCACTGTCACAACTACGAAGACTTTGATTACTGAAACTACACAGACACAAAATCAGACTGGGACACCTACAGTTGAAACTACGTCAACAAAAAAGCCAACCAGTGCCCCTACTATTAACGGTGAGCACCTGCCTGTCTATAAATTGTAATGAAAATTATTATTTATGCTATCTGTGATATATTGTATTTGTCTACATTGTAAAGATTTACTAATCTAAAAACTATATCCTTCTTGAAGCATAGAAACCATTTGCTTGTTTTATCCTTTCGAAAAAATTAATTTATAGTTAAACTGTCACAAGAAGAGGAATTGGGTCTGAATAGAAAACTTTGCGGTCTTTTTTTGTGCTCAGGCCATTTTGTCAAAACGTTTTCCTTTCACCATGCTTTCACCATCAAAAGCTGCATTTGTGTTCATGAACAATTTGATATTTTATATTTGACTACAGTAGCAGCAATTGCTGGAGGTTCTGTAGCAGCAGTGGCAGTTGTGGTCATAGCAGTCGGTCTTGGAATCTTCTGTTATAGGAGACAAAACGGCATTGGCAAAAACAGGTAAGGTATATATTTCAGTGCCTACAGCTTAATCAGGTAATGTTAACAAAGTAACAGTGTGTTTTAGGCCTCAGTTGCAACCAAGGCAAATCTGAATCAGTCATATTCTAATTTCTAACACATTTGACAAGCTGAAAGTCATTTGATACAATTTAAGGGCACTTTTAAAGACAGGGTCTTGAGTCTATCCAGTGATGAGGTCGTGTGGTGCAACGGCAGCATGCGCGACTCGGAATCAAGAGGTCCCGGGTTCGAGTCCTGACATGCCACCGATCTTGTGCCCATGGGAAAGGCACTTAACACGACTTTCCCCACTAGACTCAAGTGAAAATGAGTATTGTCTGTCCAGTATTCATTTCTATGTGCAGGACACAACACCAGCAACAGCTGCCTCTGTTCCGCGTGTATTGCACTTTCAAAAAATCAATCAATGATGATCAGAACAGCAAGGAGTAGATTGCACAAACATGCCCATGTACAAAAACATGTCACTCTTTCTTATAGTACATGTAAAAACAAATTATGATATTCCTCTTTCAGGGACTCTACTTTTGACATTGAAAAAGATGGACGAGCCAACCCTTCTTTTGTGATGGAAGAAATAGGTGACCAGGAGATTATGACCAGGTATGTTTTATTAAATGTATTTTTGAATCCAAATGAATTATCTTAATATCTGTTAAATGTGATCTTCAATGTGCCAGTGTCATAGAAAGTTATTTTTATTGTATACTTGATCTACAAAAAGTAAAATTGAACAGATTGGTGGTCTTCATATCTTTTTGCAAAGTTTTTCTACAGTGTAATTACACGAGACCAGTCTACTTATTATAGGTTCATTTTGCAATGCCATATTGTATTCTCTTAACTGTCTAAGTCATATATTATTTTCTTCGTACTAGCAAACCAGTGAAACTGTCCAACTTTGTCAACTACCACATTGAAATGAGTAAGGATTCAGAGTATCAGTATGCAGAAGAATATGAGGTACGAATTCAAAATTAATCTGTGACAAAACTTTTCCTCATACACATAGTATTTGTTCTTTTTTCATATCATGATCAATTTGCTTTGATATTGTCTACTTTTATTATTATGTTGTAGTATGGTTGTATTTTGAAGAATATGAGTTTTTAAAAGTTTTGTTTTGAATTGTAGAGTCTGAAGCCAGTGGGCAGAGCGGAGTCCAGAAATGCAGCAAAACTTCCAGAGAACATGGGAAAGAATCGCTACACAAACATCCATCCATGTAGGTTGGGGTTTATACAGTACTGTTGTGTGTTTTAGGGTCTTAATGCAAGCTGCAAACCAGATCTTTCCTCTGGTTGTTAGCAGTGTAAATATGCCAAGTGTGAAAACATGTCACAAGGATTGTAAATGATTCACTAGTTATTATTCAAAAGGTAGACTAACTGATTGTTGCCAACTGATGCAAGAATGTATACATGTACACCATTGGATATCAAGAACATTTACAAGCACAACAAATTTTTCCTCACCCACTGATGTTTTGGTAGTCCTTCTGTTATCATCCTTAGGCCTGGGCCATACCTATTGAAGTCTTGATAAAAAAGTCACAAAAATATTTGCCTACGAGTAGTATCCAATGTTATATACCATGATAATAATTATAAACTTGATGACTCAAAATCAGCCTTCAAAGACTGAATAATACAGTCTTTGAAGTCTTCTAAATATTCATATTTCTGCATCTATATATGATGATTACAAATTTGATGTGCACGTTTTGACTTATATATATTGGACATCAACAAACTATTGTAACAATATGTATTGTTAGTATTAAAGCATTTGTCATTGTATTATCGCCGGTTCTATCCCCTCCCTTGGGCGGTGCCGCGGTCGCCTGTTCGAACACGTGCCAGCGCACGTGCCAGCGCCGTGTTCGAACAGGTGATCTATACCGGTACCGTTCGAGGGAAGGGGCTCTAGAACCGGCCGGTTGCAGATTGAATAAATGAGTTGAGATCAAGCCATTGACGAGTTCAGACGCGCGTCCTTCTTCGTCCTGTTACACTATAAATGGACGTTTATTTCACACTTTCTAGATGACAATTCTCGAGTCAAGCTGGCTGCCATTGATGATGTGGAGGGATCAGACTATATCAACGCCTGCTACATGCCTGTGAGTGTCTTACATGTAGTAAAAAAATTATTCATTAGCACAAGATTGGCTATTTGACATGCCTAATGTGTAGGCTACTAGTATGTAAAGAGTAAGCTGCACCGTTGTCAAATGAAAGGGGACCATATCAGAGGTGATAGACATCATTGTCTTTGGTAGAACATTATAGAGATTAATGTTGCTCCCTCTGGCAGAATGTACAGAGATTGTAGGGTGGATGGACACACACACACACACAATCAGGTAAAGAGATGGAAAAGAAAATACAGCTAAGACATGCTGAAAAAAAGATATTTCACTCTCTTCATGTGAAATAATAAGACAAGGTACCCAGTATTTTTGAGGTAGAAGGTCATAGACTCATCAGCAATTAAAGACAAGCATATCTGCATGGCAACTAAAATTTGTTTCCTACAACTCTTTAGAGGAGGTCACTGAAACTAACGTTACATGTACATCAACAATTAAATCTAGTGCTATACATGTATATATAGTAGCACTGATCATGTCATAAGTTTAGAACTTACAGATACACAAGAGTCTTCCTCCTTTCCATGTTCCAGGGGTTCAACTCCAGGCGGGAGTTTATCGCTTCCCAGGGTCCTTTGCCCGACACGAAGGACGATTTCTGGCGGATGGTGTGGGAACAGAACAGCAGGGTCATCGTCATGGTAACACAGTGTGTGGAGAAGGGACGGGTAAGGTCATATCTTATCTTAAAGATTTCTACAGGTGTTCATATGCAGAAGATTGAATGACCATTTTAGCGGCACAAACACAAGACCTCATCTGAATACAAACACAGGAATCTAATTCCTTGTCTTTTTCTTGTGCTTTCCTCCCGGCGAGTAAATGTATGAAATACTAGCAGTTAAAGAAGGAATATATTTGCGTTAGCCAAATTTTGATGTCTGAGAAAAATGGACATGTTCGCGGGACTATACGTTCATGGTGGTAATGTTTGTGGTAATGATGAAATTTGTAGTATAGAAGTGACCACAAAAACTGCAAGTATAAAAGTACCGCGAATTATGTATTGTGATTTACAGTATTTTCTTCATTATATACAGTGAGTTTTAGAAATGTACAATGGTTTTGGTACAGTACTTAGTAACATTGACCAGTGTGACATACAAAGAATAAAGAGTCATCCAAAGGTTAGATGCCGAAGGGACTGCTTCCTACACATATCTCTTCATGCAAATACGGTTACGTCTGGAATAACTGAGTGTGTATTTTGATTGGTCTCTTCTTCATATTCATGTAGCCCAAGTGTGAGCACTACTGGCCATATGATGAGGACCCTGTGTACTATGGTGACATCATTGTCCAGGTGGTAAAAGAGACTGTTCTACCAGAGTGGACTGTCAGGGACATTACTATACAGCGGGTAAATATTTTATTATTTGTATGTCATGATTTCTCAACAATCAGAGGTAGGTCCGGGTCAAGTGTTTTAAGCATATTTTTGAGGCATTTTATAATGTCAGCCTTTTCTAGTGCTCTGTGTTTGTCTTTTCTAAGAGAAGGCAAATTACACTACTAGAAAAGACGAACAAAATGCTGAAGAAAATGCATAAAACAGTCTCTTTATAGTAGACTTCTGGTTTGTAGGAACATATTAATTTGTAAGGAAGAGATTTTGTGTTAACCAACTCCCTATTGGAGCAAAGTTTGAGGTCTGTTTCTGTAAGATGGCATCTGTCCTTGGTGCTGAAAGTGTTATTATAAAGTCACTGGGCGTTCCCAAACACTGCAATATGTGTAGAATGTTCCCAAAAGTGTCCTCACAATGTTAGCAATCTTTAGTTGTGGTTGTTGATTGTTCTAGTTTAGAATCTACAGAGAGTCAAGCAAATTTTTTGCCCCAAAGAAGGCTAGGGTCTGGGGTTTTGCTATAGTTGATAGGGCAACAAGAAACACATTTTTTTCCTAGGCCCTAGCTGGTGTATTATGCTGAAGGGTAGTATAAGGGCTATACATATACTGACTCAGATATTTTTCTGCTTTGAGATTCCAGCAATAACAAATGTCATTTACCATCTACAGGATACGGAGTCGAGGAATGTTCGTCACTATAACTTCATGGTGTGGCCGGACCACGGTGTTCCTGACACAACGCCCAGTCTGCTGAAGTTTGTACGATCTGTGCGGGGTCACGTCTCCAAGGAGGCCATGCAGATGGGGCCTACAGTTGTCCATTGCAGGTAGAGACACATGATGTGCAACATTATTGTTCCAAGCTCACCGTGCGGATGTTCCGTTATATTCCTGGGTCATCGTCAGATTTGTTGGGGGAAAACCTTGAATAACATACGCACCCCGACAAGGACCCGAGACACTTTCGGGATTTTGAAAAGTTTAAAAAGTGCGTACTTTAATCGGGAATTTACGGTAGTAGCTACTTGTATCCTGAAGTTTATAATCTTATTCTCAAGGGACTTTTGCTATTTTTCAATGTACAAATGCATACATTTGTAAAAGGTGATGTGTACATGAACATGTATGTCTTTGTTATAACATTTTGTAGGTTGAGATCAGAATACCTTAGAAATTAACAGTATAAAAGGAATGAACAGTCCAGAGTAAATGGACAAAATTGTCAGGGGCACTTCTATGTTATATACATGTACTAGTATGCTCCTTGGATGGCACCTAACAATAGATCCCTTTATATATATATGTCAACTTGTGTTTTTGAAAATTTTGATAGGGTATTCTACATGTATCTGAAAACATACTCTGGAGCTACATGCATTTTTGAAAGTTTGCACTGGTTTTATGTCTAATTTTAATGTTGTATTTGATTATGACGCGCTGCTTGTCTCTGTCCACAGTGCGGGTGTTGGCAGGACCGGTACATTTATAGCCCTGGACCATCTCCTGCTGCACATGCAGAAACACAACTATGTGGACATCTACGGGATCGTGCATGAGATGAGGAAACACAGGGTGTTCATGGTACAGGCTGAGGTCAGGAACACAGCAGCTTTGGGCATTATGATATTTTTGGCATTGCCTCAGGGGTGGGGACTTCCTCCTCCTTCTTTGCACTGCCTTCAACTGGATGAAGATTCTGATGCACTGACACTTATATAATACAATCAAGTCAAAGTTTATTGCACAACGATTGTCACGGGTACAATGTAGTACATGAAAGTGCTTTGCTGGGAAGGGTACAATTGTTAGGTTTAAGATTACCTATTATATGTATGACTGTGTGAATGTGTGTGTGTGTATGTGCATGCATGTGTGTCTGATATGAGAAAACATTCAGTTTATTAGTACATATTGTCAGTAGCATTGTCAGCTTTGTGCCCCTTTTATTTATCCTAATATTAGTTAACAAGAGTACTGTTTAGTAACATTTTCCTCTATGTCTCATGCAGGCACAGTACATCTTCATCCACCAGGCCATTGCTGACGTGTTGCAAGGAAACGACACAGAAGACAGTGATGAAGACTAACATACATGTTCCAGCCCCTCTATTAAAACATGAAGTCCCTAGCCAACAAGAACTGGAACTCATTTGATGTAGTCTCTCAATATGAATTGAAGACAACTAGAAAAGTAACATTTGCAAAGCAAATGCATAATGTTTACCTTCAGATATGGTCTGCTCTGTTAATTCTTACTCAAACACATTCACATACATGTATATGGTGACAGGAGTCTAAATGCCTACAATGAAATTGCCACATTGTGTGTGTGTGTTTGTCACATTGTGTAACCCGACACCAGTTACTATGGTGACAGATGTAAACAAAAGAGGCCATTGGCCAGGTCAGAGGTTAGTGTTTGGAGAAGAAGAAATGGAAATGGAGCAAAAACAATATGTTTTCCTTCGGTAAACATAATTATAGTATCTGTCATAGGTCACAGTGTGAGTTACATCAATGGCAAATAAACCTTGTCCTGCAGAGCTCATAAATATATATGGGATGCACATACAGTACCATCTATGTGTAGAGCCCTGTATATGTGGGGTTGGGGGTATTTCTTGTGCAATGCATCACACTGCAGCAAAATGTAACAAATGTAGAAGTAACTATGCCATTTCAGCATAAAAAAACAAGGGTCTTTGACCTGATTGAGACATTAAATTATTAAAAAATATTGTGTAAAAAATGCCAAGGGTTGAAACAAACAATATTTGTTCACCTTTTCAAAGATATAAGGTTGAGTAATGATGATAATAATAAGAAGTAGTCATCATTGTTTTAGTCATTAACAGGACTACATGTATGTAACATATACTAGTAGTTTAAGTCAGGAATCAAAGGTGCTGGCCACCTGTGTGTTATCAAAACCAGTGTATCTTTAGAGTTGCTCAAGTTTTTTTTTGTTCAGTACACATCGCTTCAACTTCTTGTATTTCAAGACTTTTAAAATATGTGCATGTAGCAGATACATATTACTCTCTTATACATAGTTATATACATGTACTCTCTTATAAGGTATAAGGGATAAAGATGAAAAATACCTTACTTACATGTACGTAGACCTCTTGTGCCTACAGGCACTTTGGGCAGCAAATTTCCATCTTAAACAACTATCAGCTGCTGTCTCCCTTCTGCCAATGGTATGTTGGCTATTTGCAAATACAAATACCATAAGATACTACACTATACTACATTTGTTTTTGTACCCTGACAAAATCAATATAATTGTCGTCAGTAACAATTTGATGTACTCTCTGCTCTATGTACATAACTTGCTTGTAGAGAGGAGTTAATAAAAATGTAAGATGATGTTTCAACTGGGCTTTGCTGTCATTATACATTACATTACATTACACAGTCATACGTTTTATTGATGTATAATAATCTCTAGGTTTTCATCAGCTTTCTGACCGGTGAGTCAGTTCCTTTTTGAGTCGGAGAATAGTTTAATCTATAATATGTAATCTACTAACTCATTGTGTGGCTGAGCCTGTATGCCGTAATCTCGTTAAACCACGCGAGAGTACGTCCTAAAATTGTAGTATTATAATAAACTAGAGCTTCAAGAACGAATCAAAGTACTATATTGTGCTCCCTTGAAAGTAGAGGGAATCACATTTTTAGATGATCTTAGTAAAGTAGCTAATCATTAAGAAAAAGCAAACAATGAACACGAAAACAATGACACAATGTATTCAACCATTTACATTTGAACATGTACGTAGCTCAATTTGGTAAAAGCTTTGCACACAAACAAAGCGCAAAGATATTTGACCCTTAAAAAATACAAATCCCTCTCTGATAGAATTTTAAAGGCCTCCAATGCAATTTTAGCGTCTTTTTATTTTCGGGGTACCACCCATAAATAGCTAGAACCAGCCTACGATACAAAACAAACAACATTTTTTTTCTGTCACTAACATTGCGCTTTTGCTTGAATTACCTTTAATTAGAATGCAATGGGAGAGAATTGATTCAACTTACTACATAAAAAGAATGACCAGAAAGTTAACTTTGAAAATCCAGTTTTGCCATGGGATGCCTTTTAATTGAAACATTGAAAGGACGTGAACACTGGCACAGCCCCAAGGGTCATGGCACATGAACTCTGCGCATACATTACGTCATCGGGAAATGGACTTTACCCTTAATGAAATAAGACACACCACACACTTGGTCTTATATCTTTTTACCTTTGAGTACCAGTGCAGGTATTTCTCTTGAGGGAAAGAGTTTCGTTCTTGCTCACTCCTTGCTTTGGAAGGTGAAGATTTAAAAGGTAGGTTGCATCTTTATTTTCTTTATATACTAGTAGTTGTAACAACGATCACAAACAACGTCATGCAAGGTCCACTACTGATCATTTCATACTACGTTCCATATCGCCCATGTAACGTTATTTAGTTTCCTGTACACAGAGTTTGCAAAGCTTGGTTAGCAAAGGGCCTGACACTAGTGCTACTGGAAATTGTAGTTATCGATCTTACTACAACTGCTTCAAAAAGCGTAAGAAATTTAATATGGGATCATATCTTCGCATTTTCTGTAGCAAAATTACCCACTTACGCTAGCTGGCTACCTCCCAGACGTGAGGACATGCATGGTAGAGCGCTGAGGTCTAGAAAATCTCTCAGTTTAAGTGCAAACATCTAGGTTTAGAAACAGCACGATATCGTTCCTTGTAAGCTACTGGATGGCTAACCTCGCCCGCTATTCTGTATATATTTGTGGTATCAATTTGTATCTTTTTATCGTCAAATATGCCCTAATTCAGTGATTGTAACTGCAATGGCATATTATCTGTTATTTTGTTTTATTGAAATAAGCTGTTACTCATCTTACGTAGGTATTAGAAAACGGAGAAGGGAGACAATGTATGAATTCCGTTAAAGTTCAAGGAGGCCTACAGTTACCTACAGTTACTTTGCTATTTGTGTGGGCGGGAGCGATATTCAAATATATATACTCATTGGCACCCACACCTTGACTGAATGCATTGTTTGATCACGTTTACTTTGCTTTCAGTTTGGACTCCGGCAAACGTAACAATGTCGGGTCTTTCTGTGCTGGTGGCAGCGGCTCTGTGTTTTCTTCGCATCGACGTGACGCAGGGACAATACACGGCCTGCTTTCGCGGAGACAACCCGCTTTGTGTCTGTACTCTGACTCCCGAGTCGCAGTTCGAAGTAGACTGCAGCTTCAAAAACATCATGGCGGCCATTGACGGTATTCCTAACACCACAGTCTCACTTGATCTTAGCGGCAACATGCTCCAAGACATCCCGTTGGGTTTCTTGCGAAATCTTTCCGTCTTGAAACTTCTCAACGTCGAGAACAACGCCTTGGTTGTTTTAAAAAACGACACCTTCGTCGGTCTGAGGAATCTTACGAGTTTGTTTCTTGGTGGAAATGACCTGATTGACATTGAGAAAGATGCGTTTAAAAGTGTTTCGCGCCTGCAACAGCTTCGCTTGAACAACAACAAACTCACAATCATCACTAACGGAACATTTGATGGTTTGACAAATCTGAATTCGCTAAATCTTGCTAGCAATCAGCTGGAAAACATTGAACCACATGTATTACATGGATTGCAACGTCTGAAATATCTTGACCTATCTTACAACAAACTAAGTACGTTGAAGGAAAGTGTTTTTGCTTCGTCAATGGTTTCGTATTTGGACCTTTCCTACAACCGTTTCGCTGATGTTCCGTGTAAAGTTTTGCCTCCACAGATAGTGACTTTGAAGTTATCCCACAATGCCATCACTGACATCCAGAGCAACTGCTTTGAAAAGTTGGAAGAACTTCGCTCAGTGTGGATTGATGGAAACGCTATCAAAACATTGACATGCGACACCTTTCCTTCGCTTGTAGAACTGCATGTGTCTGGAAACCCATGGTACTGCGACTGCTCTTTGGTACATGCGAAGATCTGTCTAGCGCACAGTCTTCAGGATACCCTAGTATGTAGGCAACCCCTGCTCTACAGTGGAGTAGATATTGAAGAGTTTTCGACCCAAATGTTTGACAACTGTAGCGTCTACACAACGTCAGTTTCGTCCACTGAGTTGGAGCAAACGTCCTTGCCGTTCACAGAGAATCCGCTAGGAGCGCTCTTCTCAACGGTGAAGTTCATCAACGTTACATCTGAAGACTGTGACAAAAACTGCCTAAAGACGAAGTACGTTGGACTTGTCGTTCTTGTTGGCGTTGGCTGTTCCGTAATTACGTTGATCTCAACGTGTATATTCTTCTTCCTTTGCATAAGGAACAAGAGCAAGAAGAAACAAAGACGACGATCTAAGTTAAACAGTGATTCCGCTGAAACAAGTGGTAACCGAATCTCCGAGATGATTCCAATGATTAGCGTGGCAGAAGCGCCATCCGGCGACCATGATAGGGACTACAACCAAGAACAGGAGACGTTTCTCGGTACCTTCCAGAAAAAGAATTCCAAACCCCAAAAAGATCAGCCATCAGCTGCTGTTCAAGAAAATGATAGTAACGAGGGATATGCGCACCCCCAGCCTGCAGTGGTTCAGTCCGACCAAGGCCAAGCTACAAGGTCAATGACCCCTGACAACCACTACATGCGGGTGACCATAGACTTTGATTCAAATGATGCAATAAACCTTTAAAAGATTTTAATCTAAAATAGTTAATTAGACACTCTAAAATAGTTAATTAGACACTTGACACCAATGGCAGGCTTTTATCTATAACTATTTTGGAAGATTCTAAAAATATACGACGATGACGTTACCAGAATACAACAAAGTTATTAGGTGACGTCAGATTGTTTTTTGTTTGTCTTTAAGTTTAAGTTTCATAAATGCTTTTCATAGCTTGTGCAGTGTTTTTGGTTGGCTTATAACTTACTGCAAGTTTTCAGCACTCAAGAATAAAGTTTTGCCATCAATGTTTGCATACATTGTTCTGTTAAAGTATGTCTTGACTTATCTGTAGTGATGTTTATTTTTGCAATGTTAATGTTTGCAACCATTAAAAGTGTGAAAAAATCAATTTTTCTGAAGGAAAGACAAAGATATCTTATTTAAAAGTAGAAGCAAAGGAAATGCATTATGTTTACCTTCGCATGGTCTGGTCTAAGAAACTGCTCTGTTTATTCTTACTCAAACACATTGATAATACTAGTATATGGTGACCAGCCTCTCCAACTCTTGCTACATAATGTAACACAACACCACATGGTGTCTGCTACAGCATCAGTTACCATGGTGACAGCCTAGCCTTTGGTTCAGGTCATTGACCTTTCGTGTTTAATTTAGAGAAGAAGAAGAAACTTGAGCAAAAACAATATGTTTCCTTCAATAAAGGTAAACATAGTACACAGTACAAACAACACTCAATGTCTTTCTCATCTCATTCAAAGACATTCTAATAGAATTAGGGTGTTCTATTGATCATATTCCATACGAGATTTATTCAATTATTGTTTTTATCCACTTTAGTCACACCTATTCAGTGTCATCTTTCAATTGATAAAAAAACTGCTTGCAGTTCCACACAAACCTGATAAATGTCAAAAATAGATCAATTTTACATCTTTTTGGAAGACAATTGAGGTCCATGCCTGATACAAAATTTACAGTGATCACCATGTGATATATGTATAATTATATAGAACACTTACAGCAGAAAGTACCAAGCCAATTTGGGCATAGAAAACAGATGTTTTGGAAGACATTTGAATTCCATGTCTATGTCATCATTATTTCTAAACCACCAAGTGACAAATATGACATTGAGGTATCAAAAAGTACCAGCATCATTAGCTAATCTTCATAATCTTATTACAAATCTCTTGAGTTTTAAAAGAATTAGACTTGTGACATCATAATAATTCCTGACGAAATGCTTACCAAGCACACTAACATTTACTACAAATTATCATATTAATCTATTTTGCACAAAATACTTGTTAGCAAATTTTTAACAACAAAATGAGGTACGTGTATGTATACTATTCATTGTGAAGAAAAGAAAATATGCAAACAGTGCCTATTTAAGATAAAAGTTACAAACAATACTGACAGAGTTTGATAGTATAATGTATCGTACTACTATCTACAAAACACAATGTATTACAGTTGATGCTACAAACAATAAAACTGATATGCAAATGAGCTGTCAATCAATTAGCAAAGATGTCTCCCATTGGCAGCCAGATGTTCTTGGCCTGGGTGGCGTGATACAGAAACTCCTCCCCCTGGCCCTGCTGGGCGTCTGTCCAGTCACGAGCTATCCCATAATCCACCCAGGTACGCTTCAGGTTCTCCGCAGAGGTCCACTCTACGAACTTTGACCCCTGTTGGAGCAAGGTACAAATCTAATAGAGTAACTCTTAAAACAGTATGACATTGTATTTAAATTAGATCAATATTGTTTTACATACTGATTTAGGCTCAGAAAAACATAGGTGGTTGAGTGTGCTAGTGAATGAGTGAGTGAGAATGAGTGAGTGAGTGAGTGAGTGAGTGAGTGAATGAGTGAGTGAGTGAAGTTTTGTACAGGTACATGACTTTGTGTGCGACCGTGTCATATTCATGATCAATGTACGACCTTGCCAAAACTGTGATGAGTATGCTTGAATATGTAGTAACGTCAAAATCATTGTATTTTTTTACTCAAATAAAATGCTGCAAAGAAAGCAAATTCTTAACCCCTATCCTTGCTACCTACCCTACAAACTATTTCAGATTTGGTAACAAAAGTCTACCTCGGCAGTGAGAAGGTTTAAGTTTTAGCTCACCTCAGCAGAGCCGAAGTACCACATGGCCTGTATGTCCTGATGCTCCACCAGGTACTTGGTGATGTGGTCCCTGTCTCCTGTCAGGATGTTCACAACGCCCCCTGGCAGGTCAGATGTGTCAAACACCTGCAGACAGACAAATCAATACATGTACATGTGTTCATGCATCACTTCAGAAAGTAATTTGTAGGCAGCCGCCCAAAATCATTGTCATTCCTACTCAGTACATTAGCTGTAGCATGTAACTGTCCGTAATCAGCTCTGAGAATTTAATGTAATTCGTAATTGGCAACAAAAAGTTTGTGTAATTCGGAGGCACTACCCCCTCCCCCATGCATGCCCTCATATACATGTAGGTACAACGGTAAAGTAAAAAATTGGATATGAGTGCTAATTCAGCTTATTTTACAACTGCTAAGGACATTGTGCTGTATTTACATTTTGCAATCATGCTCTTGTTTTCCTTAATGTATTCATCCCTATAAAATCAAGGAGTGAAATCACTCACTGACTCACTCTCTCCCCTTGAGTGAAATATTGCTTAATTGAACAGAATATTGTGACAGTTTACCTGGTAGAAGTCCAAGGCACTGAGCGGATGTTTCTGACTGGGTACGACAATCATGGCGTTCCCACGGACCACGGCGGGCGCAAACAGCGACACGAACCCCAGCAGTGGGTACTCCTCAGGACAGGCTATACCGATCACTCCCATTGGCTCATGGATCTTTGCTGTGACTCCATATAAGGTCGTTTCCTATTGGTGGAGATGGAGCAGTAGTTATTAACCTTATCTCTACTGCCTAACCAATAGAGAATTGGTACCGAAGTGGCTACTTCAGTGTGCTGAAGGTTAACGCAAGTTACATGCAGCTTTTTGTGTGTTGGAACAAAGTTATCTATTAGGAACTCTGTACCATCTGAAACACAAAAAACTTTCAAGCTAACGTATGCTACATGTACAATCATGTAGGGTAGGATAACCCTCAGAGTCAGAGTATGTACATGTATAAGTGTAAGACTAGGTTTAATCATTGGTTTTTGGCACTTACTGTCCAAAACCCTGATTATACAGATTTCATCATATGAGAAATGGGTTAAGAAGCATGATATTAATAATAATTTGTGACAGTACCATCTCCTATCATTGTTTACATACTGCGCAAGTAACTATTTGGTAAAAAATGTTACATTAGCTAAAAGTGACAATCTAAATTTTGTATTATACACCCACCACCTCCCAAATTTTGCCTGAACTTGACTTGTCTAATTCTTACCTGCACAGTCCCTCCATACTTGTCACAGTAGGCTCCCCAGTAGAACAGCCTGTGTACTGCCAGGTACACTTCTCTCCTACAGTCCTCCTCTATCCTTACACCTATACTAACTCCCCTAAACCTTACCTAAACATCCCCAAACCTTACCTGCACAGTCCCTCCATACTTGTCACAGTAGGCTCCCCAGTAGAACAGCCTGTGTACAGCCAGGTCCACTTCTCTCCTACAGTCCTCCTCTATCCTTACACCTACATGTACTAACTCCCCCAAACCTTACCTGCACAGTCCCCCCATACTTGTCACAGTAGGCTCCCCAGTAGAACAGCCTGTGTACAGCCAGGTCCACTTCTCTCCTACAGTCCTCCTCTATCCTTACACCTACATGAACTAACCCCCCCAAACCTTACCTGCACAGTTCCTCCATACTTGTCACAGTAGGCTCCCCAGTAGAACAGCCTCTGTACTGCCAGGTCCACTTCTCTCCTACAGTCCTCCTCACTGCGGCCAGTCATCAGCTGTAACTGCTGAGTGAATTCCTGTCGGCGGATCTCCAAGTTCTCCGCCATGTAGTACACAATCTGGGCACGGTTGTGGGCTGCACGCTTCCCCCAACTGACAGAAAATATTGAAAAAGTTACACACACGGTATCAGACTATTCTAAAGTTATGCAAATCTTGCAAGTACAAGAGCAAAAAACCTTGAGGCCTCATTAAGACTAGATACAATGTAGTACTACAATCATGTAGTAAACTACAACTGACATTACTGTATGTAGCATAAACAGTCATGTACAAATGTACTAATTGAGTCAAACCTGTACAACTACATGTACAAGTGACGACCCCTACATACATTTGTATGGACTAGTCTGGAGTCCAGTCTTGTCAGCAGATCTTATGGGAAAAGCTATTATAAACAAGGCTGGACTGCTGGCTACATAAGGACAACCTGGCCAATATGACTACTTTCTGGTGGTACCTTGACGCTATTTGTCTTTACTTTTCACAACCATTGAGAATTGATTGACTCATGTCAGTAGTCAAGAGATCGGTCTTCTTGGTCAGTTATAACTGCACAAATACACCCCTATGCAGAAATTGTGAAAAAAAGTGCCACACCACTACCTGTAAATATAAGACTGTCACCGTTAATTTTCAAACCAAAGTTACCCAGGAGCAGCCTTGTGTGCTGCCTCCACAGCGTTCCTGACATCCTTCCTGTTGGCCTCACCCACCAGCGCCAGTACCCTCCCCTCCTGACCAATCACAGGCCGCGAGTACTGCCCATCCGGCCTCTTCTGACCTCCGCCGTAGTACAGTTTGTATGTCCGGTCAATCCTGTACAACATAACACTGTAGACTGTCAAATCTGTACTGTATGTTGAATGCAATAATGCACAGTCATGCATGAATAAATGGTCTACATGTATAATATTGACAAAAATGTTCAGATTTCTAATTCTGATGTCACAGTAGCAGAAAGGGTTTTAGAGTTGATTGAAAGATGTAGAACAAGTACACATGTATTATGTTGTCACAAAAAGACATAATCTAAAATTCCATATAAAGCATTTTTTAAATAAATTATCATAATGACAAAAAATGTTTCCAATACACATGTACATGTACATCGTGGGGGAATCTAAAGACCTAAAAATGTCCAAAACTGTTGTTAAATTGGACAACACACAATGTCATGTAGGAAACATCTTTTCTAACATAGATTTTTCATACACTTAAACATTTAGTACTAGTCTGATAGGATCAAATGAACATATCTCCCAGAAATTGACCGTTCACAAATTAAAAGTAAAGTAAGGAACTTTCATTGAGCCATCCATGCTTCAACAATGTGCAATGAAGAACACAAGTACAAATAATGTACACTCTAACAATAAATGATTTAGAAAAAGAAGAAATGATATCAGTATAGATTAATGTTTGCACATCAAAGAGAAACACTATTCTAGACATACATGTATGCATAGACCCAGGTACTAGTACAATGTATCTAAACCTTACCCTGGTACTATAGCTCCATCTGATGTCAGACTTTTGTCTCCGACTGTACCACTGCCAGGCATGGGGGGTACGGTAGCTCCGTACTTGGCAGCAAACGTCGTGTAGTTGATTTCACCACAGTTGGGCCGAGGTCTGTCCTGCCAGGCAGGCTTGGCATACTCATACAGACCCTGAAAAGTAATAAAAACACACAAGTCACGTTATTAAAAATATCTTTTATTTTCTTGCAAGGTTCTGAGTATGTGACATTGTGTAAGTTGTACAATACATTTGGGTGGAGGTGATGTGAACACAGTTATTGAAGGGCAACACCAAATAACCACAGATTATTGGCACAATGTCACAATAATATTCTAATTGAATTTTCCAAATTTACTGTGCCTTTTAAAACTAAACAAGTGTTATCTGCTTTGGTCAATGAGTCAGAGTACTTAAAGCATGACATTGTCATTTACAAAATGTACAGTGCACAGTCAGTGACAACATTCCATGATTAGTCATGTATAAAGGAGTGGGAAGTGCCTGGAGCAAATTTCGTGAGTAAGTTCAGTGTGTTACGGTTAAATCTATACAGTTTACCGGCTGTTGATAGTATTTTCCATTTAGGCCACACCAATTCAATTTGTTGGTTCTCGGATTTTTTCAGGAAAAATATGAAGCGACAGGGCGAAAAAAATAAAAATAAAAACAAATCTAGGCATCCTATTATAGCCCCAAATGCTACGATAGGAGGTATGAAGTCAACACAAAAGGCTGGTTCAAAATTTAAACAATGAATTTTGAACTTCTAATGATACCACTGCATTGAAAGATGGAATAACTGTAATGACTAGGAAGAAAAGGACTGTTTTCAACTGTTCAGGGCAAAATATGAGCATTTTGCAGTTGATTCTGTAATTTTTTTTTGCAAATCAGGAAAAAATGAAGAGGCGAATCCGAGAACCAACAAAATTAAATTGGTGTGGCCTTACTACTGATTTACATGGTACTCATTACAAACAAGTTATAAAGCTACATAGGAAACAGCTAAAAGTCCGCCCTAGCCTTAAACAATGAACAGAGCCGCCATTTTTTTCTGCCGCTGCCACGCCAAGGGGTGGATTGCCTAACCGAATGCAACACAATAACATATGACGTCAAGGCAGAATTTGGCGTCGGTGATTGGTTTGCAGTCTGACGTCATGACAACAACGCATGCGCCCTACTATCACAGGAAAATTCCGTTGAGGAAGAAAGCATTGAGACTGACGCCAGACGGACAAGTACCAGATCAGTCACCTGTTTTTCTGGTCATATCCAGTCCATTGTTGGTCTTTGACAGATTATTTCTTCAGAAAGGTGAGTTAACATTATAACAGGGAAGTATATTTCCTCCCCAGCTCTGAGCGAAAATTCTGTAACAGTAACTCATACTTAGGGCTTCCACTGTCCATGACACTCAAACATGTTATGGCTACATTTACAATCAGTAAAGAACATGGTCAAATTAATAACATTACGTACTAAGCTTCCAAGTTATAAAGTTAACACTGCCAGCAGAATAAGATCAAAGTGTGTTCTAGAGTCAAACAATGAACAGAGCCGCCATTTTGTTGCTTCCCCCTTAGACAAATATGATTACTCAAAGACAGAAATGGTTCCGCAACCAATCGTTGCACAATAACATATGACGTCAATGCAGACTTTAGCTATCATGATTGGTTACAGTGCAGTGTCATGACAACAGCGCATGCGTCCTTTTATCACAGGAAAATTCTGTTGACCAAGAAAGCGTCGTGACAGACAGACAAGCACAGGGCAGTACGGGCCAGCTTCAGATCAGTCACCTTTTTCTGGTCCTATCCAGTTCATTGTTGGTCTTTAACAGAAAGGTAAGATATGACAGGTAAAACATGTTTCAACAGCATTAAAAGGAAGCAGAAATTTTGTGGGGTTATGTTTACTTACAGTCAGCAGGAAGTCATGGGACTCAAATATTTAAGGCAGGGTTTGGTCAACAAAAAAAAGGTTAAACTGTGCTAATCAGCACTTGCAGGATTTCTATGTGGAAGAATGTAGATTTGGCCAGTAACTGTTACAATGTAGAAATTTATGGAAAAATATTTTGAGAGTGAAGGCTACAATATGCCGTAACATTATACATTACTGTACAGCTAGTATAAATATTTGACTTGGATAAGACAGTGGAACCTTTTCTGCGCAAAGTCTACCTTGGACTTAAAACCAATACCCAACAAGCGACAAATGAATGCAAACATGCTGGTGATTGTTGAAAAGCGCCCTTTTAGAAGGGAGTACAAAAAGTGTTTTTCAATGACATTTCATTAACAGACTCACAGATTCTAGTTTACTTGGCACCTGAGAATCCCAGAACCAGTCTGTTTTAAAGGCAGTCTCAAGGGTGGAAATGTGTCACTGTACATGACACAGTAAGCAGGAATCTGCATCTCATGTAAAACAAGGGGCTGCAACAGTTACTGTTTTTTGCAGACTTGTTTAAAGGGGATTGATGAAGCGGCTTCATCTTTTGTTGATTTAAAATAAATTATGAGATGAATCCTTTACCTTTTCAGAAGGTCATATAGAAGTATGGCAGCTGCATCACAAATACATGTACAGGGGCCTCAGTATCATGGAGCGACTACAGTGCAAGCAAGAAAACGGCAGTTGATACTGCAACTGCCAAATGAGTCACCTCATCATAAAACAAGACCCAGGACAGAAACAGCAGACTTCAGAAAATTCTGTCAAGATCTTGGCTTCCAGGAAAAATTTCCTGACGATATTCTGTTCATGCCAGAAGAGGTTAGAGGACACCAAACAAGAGAAGAATGGATTCTTCAACTGATGCAGGAAAAGTATGAGGAGAGACTAAGTGAGAATGACAGTATGACAAGTCTCACTTTTGATTCTCTAGCAGCATTAGGGTTCTCTTATGATAAGATACAGGCCATATTGGGTAGAATCCCACAGCGGCTCAGGCCCTATGAGGAGACAATTTATTGGGCACAGCAAATTGTAAGTGATGACCTCTTCCATATGCAGAATGAGTGTCCAATATATCCTTTTAATGATGCATCCTCGTACAAAGTCACTTCATGGCCAAATCAACATGAGAAAACTGAAGTTTCTACTCAAGACTTAACATTTGTCAATATGCCCGGGTTTAGCCGTGGGTCCAGGAGTGTAGGGAATAGCATTAAGAATCTGACAGGCTTTCCTAAAGCTGGGCCTGGTGAGTTGATGCTATATCATGCTACATCACATGATTCAGTAGCTCATATTCTTAAATATGGAGTTGACCTAGAAAAGGGAAAGAAACCCAGTGACTTTAGCAATGGTTACAGTTTCTACCTAGATCCTGATGTGGATAGCTGTTATGACTTTGCAGGTCGTATCAAAAGTGCAAAGGCTGTTTTGGTTTTCAAGGTGACTGAGGAAGATTTCACTAGTACTGATAACACATTGAACTTGTGTGATGCTAAGCACAAGGGTCTTTGGCAAGAGGTAGTCAAGAGACACAGGCAGCCTGCTGGGGTCCCTAAAGCAGTGAAGAAGCTACAGGAAGAGTTTGGTTTGTCTAAGCCTTACAGGAATTATGATGTGGTGTTTGGGCCATGGTGCAAAAATATTGATGAGGTTATGAGGCCAAAGATGCCACAGCTGCCTAAACCAAACGAACACCAAGTCCAGTACATGGTTCAAAGTCAGGAATTAGCTGATAAACTGAATCAGTCCCTGAAATGTGTTTTGTTTTTCCCTAAGAGTAAGAAGTAGTTGCACTGACCCAAGTAATGACAATATTGTACATGTACCATAGCCAATAAGTACAATGTACTTTCCATTGGCAGTGATTAAATTGGAATAGAATCAGATGTACAAGTAGTAATGTACATAATGCAGGGCTTGAAATTCATTTTTGAGAATAGGTGCACCCAACCTGAAAAATACATTGTACATGTATCATATTGTATTCATTATTGATGTGTTTTTATATCATATGTTATCATTATTAGTCCGGGGTTGGATGTGTTGTTGGTGATACTGTGGTTGACCACTTAATGTACGCGGACGATATTTGTTTGATCTGTCCTTCTGTGAGGGCCCTACAGAAACTAATTGACATTTGTGAGCACGCGGGAACGGACATCGACATGTTATTTAACGATAAGAAAACAATGTGTATGTATTTCCCATGTTGCCGATTCCGCCTGCACGGCCCACCTCCCCAACTGAAGTTGTACGGCTCCACATTAGCATATGTTTCAACTGCCAATTACCTTGGGTATTACATTACCCCTGACCTGTCAGATGATTCAGCCATCCGGTGCCAGGTTAGAAGATTTTACTCTAGAGCAAACTTTCTACTTCGTAGGTTCCACTACAGTTCAGTTGAGGTGAAATGGATTCTTTTTAATAGCCATTGCACCCCTATGTATTGCTCTCAGATATGGGCAGATTATAGTGTGGGCATGATTTCTGGATTGCGAGTGGCGTACCACAGCGCCTTGAAGCTGTTACTCTCTGTTAGCAGAAGCACTAGCAACAGCCAGTTATTTGCCAACCTCGGAATCGACACTTTTGACGCTAGACGTAGGAAACAATTGTATTCTTTTGTCACTCGGCTACTTCATAGTGACAATACGATCATCTCTACGCTAGTTCACTCTGACGGCTATTACCTCAGCACATTCTGGAGGCACTACATTAACCTAGTTTTTAAGTTGTTTATTTTCTCTAGGTATAGTTTGATTATCGTGGTATTAGTTATTGTATTTGTTACCACGCCTCCATTTCTTCTTGTCTGTCTGTTCTCGATGTGATATGGGCCAGATGGCCTGAATTAAAGAACAAATATAAATAAATTATTAATAGTAAGGTTGTGAAATTACCTTTTAGTTATTACAGTACCACAAAATCTTCATGTAACCTACATGACACTGTCTTATACATGTATCAGGTATACAACATGACTACCTGTATACATGTGTACATGTACAGTTGTCATGTAGCACAAAGCCTAGAAGAATTGTACATAATTATGAGTGCTTTACAATGTTCAGTGAATTGTTTGTTAGAATAGACTGTCAGTTAAACCTGCCTGGTTGTGGGAACTTTATACTTTGATTACTTTGTAATAAAGCTTCTGAATCCGTTATGTCTGATAACATTGTAATTTGTTTTATATCATATCCGGGCCGCGATAACGTTCGATAACGGGTTCCAGACTGGGCCGTACTGTACGGTACGGCCCGGTCCGGAACCCGTTATCGAACGCTTCCATGGCTTCCATAAAACCATTCGAACGCGTTTCGCCCTAACCGCGTGTGCCCTTTCAAAAATTCGAATACAGAATCCGGACGTTGGAATTGATGTTGTTACATTTTAGGGACAAGTGGCATCAACTTTTGGCTCATCTTGAATTGAAAGGCGTGTTTCCTTGGGTGGGTATGACATAAATAAAATACAACACGGTGTATTCCGCATCGCCCTCGGCCCCGGCCCTCCCGCGAGTCGGATCGCCCGACGGCCTCGGGCGATACGGAATACCCCGTGTTGTATTCTATATAATTTTGCTTGAATTCATATATTCACAGGGGTTTTGAACAGTAGCATCTTATAGTATATGTGTTTCATGGTATTCAGGCAATGATACCTTGAAATTATCATCATCATGCTCTTCCTTGAAATTTTACTGATACATGTTGTAATACAAATAACCCAAACGTAAAGTGAAGTAAATCAAAGATACTGACCTCTTTACCCCCATCTCGTCCGTACCCACTCTCCTTGTAGCCTCCGAACCCAGCCGCTGCATCAAACATGTTGTGACAGTTCACCCACACAGCGCCTGCTTTCAGGCTAACTGCAGCCTGGGGTTACAGACAAAATACATCATCAATACATACATAACCTGTCTCCATATATATATAAATATATATATAGCTACTATACACACTGGGGTAATGAAGTCAGGTTCCTCATTGACCAAGTTGGACTGAAAACCTTTCTCACATTTCAACGACTGTTCATTTTTTTTCAACACCATCTATCAAACAATGAACTTAATGTTACTAGATTACATTATTATTATTATTACATCAATCAATCAAGCCGCAAGCATCAGGGTAGATGCATGGCGGCTGTAGCCATGTCCCTCCAGGATTATTACATACAATCACAAAAATTTCTTCTATGGCTCTGTAAAAAGAACATATAACTTAATTTTTGTAAAAATAATTAAATTTTTGGACCTTATACCTTATCCAAATTATTCCTTTCATGTAGACTAGACCTTTCTGCATGGTTTCACAGTCACAATAGACTTAAGAATGACGGAATGACTGACCTCCAGTCCCAGAGGAATAGACTCTGTCCAGACGCTGGCGCCCAGCCCGTAGTTAGTGTTGTTACCCAGGGCGATGGCCTCCTTAGCAGTACGGAATGGCAGGGCTACCAACACTGGGCCAAAAATCTAATTGAAGTAATGTAAATTAATTAAAAGCTACAACAACATTTAATTTATCTTTCAAATGCTTGCCGTTTACACAGTATTCACTTGTTAAGTTGTGAGAATATCAAAAAAGAAAACGATGTAAACCAATTAGTTAAAGCATGCTTAAGGCTTATTGTGATGACCAAATCAAAAAAGGTAACAATACCTCTTCTCTGACGACCCTCGACACAGTCTGCACATTAGTGATGAGGGTGGGAGGGTAGAAAAACCCCTTGTCATGTTTGGGGAAACTGGCTGATACCTGGTGAACCTAGAAAATAAAGATAGCATATTTTGTTTGTTTACCTTCAGTAAGGCAGCATCTTTACTACCGGTATACTACATGTAATAGGGCGAGTGACTAATAATGCTCAATATTACATTCTGTCTCAAACTTGGCCTCTACATGTGTATTACTAGCTTCAGTTTCAGAGAGTTTCATACATTGCTATGTCCCACTGCAGTACCATAACAAGCTGCTAGGTGGCCCAAAATCTAATCATTTGGAAGACCTAACCATGTAGTACCAAATATGATTACAAACCATCAAAGCCTTCTCGGGTTATGCTGTTCCCCCACACAAACACACAGACAGACACACCGCCCAGAAAACATAACCTTCTTCGCAAAGGTAACAAACAAACAAACCTCAGCCCCTTCCTTCCTGGCCTCCTCCACATACTCTTTTATAGTTTTCATCTGACTTTCGTCCACCAGAGCTCCCATGTCGATACACTTGTCCAGACTGTCCCCGACCCTCAGGTGGTTCATACGAGACTTCAGCTTAGTGATGAAGGGGTTAAACACAGACTCCTGGACAAGCAGCCGGGACCCTGCACTGCACACCTGGGAATTGGAGGTTGAGATCATAACTCTAGCCTTTACACTGCCAAAGTAGCTTTTGGTTAAGTAGTAAAGAGAGGGTTAAGTAGAAACCCTTGGAGGGACATGAACTTTTCTCAGTGATGTATAACAAACAGTTGTGGCGAGCTAACTTTGTATGCTCCACCTCTCAGTTCAGTTCAGTTCATCCTTCAATCAGGTGACACGATGTACTGCCTCCACAAGTTCCTGTCGCGCATGACAGAGGACAGTTCAGCACCGCCCAGCCCTATGTCCCCCTCTATCACCTTCTTCAGAGTTAAAGAAGGGCGACCGCGTCTCCGCTTTTCTGTTGGTGACCAGAGAAGTACCAACCCTGCCATTTCGTCGTGTCGCATGACATGGCCAGCCAGCGACAGCCTACGGTTGCGGATGACTGTTGTAATCCGAGGCATATTTCCATAAAGTTGGTTGTTGGTCACGTGACTCCTCCATGAAATGTTAAGGGCTGCACGAAGCAGGCGGGTGTAGTTCCCATCCAGAAGTTTACACAAGGATGCTGTCAGAGACCACGAGTCAGCTCCGTAGAGCAGGATTGACTCAACGCAGGTTTTAAAGACTTTTAGCTTGGTAGAGTTGGCTATTGGGGATTTCCACACTTTTGTTAGGGCATTAGAAGCCCCCCAAGCTTGCCCAATCCTACATTTCACATCATGGACTGTGTTACCATAACTGCCAAGGTATTTAAAGTCATCCACTTGCTCAATAGTAGAGCCATCACTAGACAGCAGGCCCCAGGCCTTGCTGTCTAGTGATGGCTCTACTATTGAGCTCCACCTCTACTATGGAGGATGAATGATGATGATGATGATAAGTAGAAACAAGTCATGAAAAACTGTGTGAAATCTTTCAGGGCAGGGGGGCAAAATGTTTTTGCGAATTGTTTTGTATTCCTACCGTCAATGTTTTTATACTTCATCATCTGCAATACACTACAAGGTTGGTACATATGAAGATAGTTACTGAACCAAATATCAGTTGTTGTAGAAATGTGTTTAAAGATAACTTATTGCTATCTAAGTAATGTACTGTAATTTTGATGGTGTCAATGTAAGGATTGTAAAAAGACTTACAATGCAGTTCTTGCAAAGAAAAAAAATAAAACAACAAATTGCCTCATTTGTAGACTGAAATATTTTGAATTCATTGTTGCTGAACATCCGAAATGGAAACAGAAATTTTACGAACCTGTCCCTGGTTGAACCAGATGGCGTCCACCACCCCCTCCACAGCACTGTCCAGGTCTGCTGAGTCAAACACCACGATGGGAGACTTCCCTCCCAGCTCCAGGGACAACTTCTTACCTGTACCTGCTACCGCACGCCTCAGCAGCTGTCCAACCTTTCAAACAAAGTTAAGGAGGTTAATGGACAAAGTCCCAAGCTCAGACATTTAGCCTTGTATGATATCTATGAGGAAACTTTGTGCTTGATTAACAGAAACTAGACAACAGTTTCTCCCATACTTTTTCCCTCACTAAATTGTACTAAATTGTACAACAGACAGCATATTAGCATTATTGTATTACCAACACACAGTTGTATACTGGTAATTGCCAATTGGCAAATTCAGTGGAATAAAGTATCATCAAATTTGTAAAACTCACCTCCGTTGAGCCAGTAAAGCCAACTTTATCCACATCAGGGTGACAGGCCAGTTTACTCCCAAACCTGCCGTTACCTGTCACAACGTTAAACACACCTGCAAGTACAACAGAACATTGTGTTACTGAGACTACTGGCCAACTGTGCACACTGCTCAAAAACTGGAGAAATTCTGCAATGTAAAAGGAACGATTGGCTATCAGTGCAGCCATGGAAATTATCTGCAACACTAAGGAAGAGTTTTGCTGGATCGGTCTGATCCTAGGGGTATGGGTGTAGAAACTACTGTTAATTTCACAAGATAGTTGTTATGATAGCAAATTCAGCACCAAGGAGAAAGCACATGATCACTGTAATACACTACTATGGGTCATTATGCTAAGTATTGACATATACACACTCTACGAACTGTCCTCTCAATGTAATTGAAAAGACCTTGACTGTGCCAGTAGTAATATCTTAACAACTGTGTAATAGAACAGATTATAATTAATGTTACAGTAATGGTATTGAAATTGAAATTGAAAATTAATTAATTCATCAATAGTTAGATCAGAATGTGCCCCCACCCCCACATCTGAAAAAGGGGAAAAGTATGTAAGATCTTTCGACAGAAGAAATAAAGAATGGAACAACAAAGCACATCTTCTGATCTAAATCTTTACATACCTGGAGGGAGCCCAGCTTCAGCGCAGATCTCGGCTAACATGAGAGCAGACATCCGTGTGTATGTGGCAGGTTTGAGGACCACAGTGTTCCCCATGGCCAGCGCAGGGCAAACCTTCCACGTCAGCAACATCAGGGGGAAGTTCCACGGAACAATCGCTCCAACAACACCTGAGGAAAAAAGGAAATCAGAGATGGCAGACTTCATCCTTTACATGTAAGTGCCCTCTGGTAGACATGCAGTATACAGCAATAAATAAACTTGAAACTTGTACAAAATTACACACACAGACAAGCCAGAAGTAATATACTTCAACCCAAAATGTGATGACAAGGGAACAATGTTTGCCAGAGAAATTCCCTCCCAGAGTCTGATTACATCATTCTGTGCAAGCCATGGGTACATTGTATCCCTGGACCTGTTTTTGTTTAGCTATAAAGTCACAGCGCCCTCTGGTGAAATGATACTGAATTGCAGCTTGATGAACATAAAAAAGGAAGCTTCAAGTTCAAGCATTTCTGAGCAATTGCTCATATTTTATATCAAATATTAAATAGACTAAGTTTACTTTTACTTTACCTAATATAGCTATATACATTTGGTACTAATGAAAATGTACTCATTGTTTTACCATTTACAGTGTAAATCAGAAAAATTTCAAACAAGACTACTTGAATAAGAAGGTTCTTTATTCAACAATTGATTTCTTGGTGACTGTCTGCTACCTCATCAGAGCAACAATGAAGAAGGCAACAATGAATAAGTGACAGATGATCACCAAAACGCTGGGTGTTGTACTGGTTGTTGAATATACATGTAGAACCTTCCTGTGTGTGTGAGTCCAATACAGTCCTCTGATATTACCTGATATTACCGGGTATTCACAAAAGATATACCTGAAGTTTTTGTAACTGCAAGATAAAATGTTTGAATACTGTTTCTCACCTATAGGTTTCCACCCCTGCATCTCGGTGTCCATGAGCTGCGCCCAGCCGGCGTGGTGGTAGAAGTGTCGCACCACCAGAGGGACGTCCGCGTCACGAGACTCACGGAACGGCTTCCCGTTATCCAGGCTCTCCATAACCGTCAGGATTCGCTGGTGCTTCTGCACATTACGAGCAATACTGTAGGGAAAAATTCAATCTTTTAATAATGCCAATCAATCAATTAAAGGAAGTGCGGTACAACAAGTTACTTTCTGTCATTTCTGATGAAGATTTTCAAATAAAAAGTCAAAACCGGTAAACTAAGTCTCAGCCGTCATCCTTCTGACAAATCTCTGACTAAATCAATTAGATGATTGAAGGTGAAAAAAACACCAACTGCATATTAACAATATCATTTAATCCAAGTGCTTTCATGTGAATTCAGTCACTGAGTCAGGCTAGCTATAGGAGCAATCTCAATTTTTTGTAAATGTTCTATTTTTTTTTGCTTTTCATGCCCTATTGCAGTATTTCCTACATACCTTATTGGTGAAAGTTTTTTGACTCACTTTGTAAATTTTCATTTATACATTATTAATAAACAGACTGATACAACATGTACGTTAACAGCACAGAGGAAATGATGTGAGATCTCCCACTGGTTTACCTGTACAGGTAGCGAGCCCTGACATGACAGGGTAGTGTGCTCCATGACTCAAACGCCTTCCTCGCTGCCCCCACGGCCAACTCTACATCCTCATCCTCACCCTGGATTGTTGTAGCCAGAACTTCACCTGTATATCATTATAAGTGCATTATAAAAAAAATAATAATAGTGAACATTTTGTACAGTACAGCCTGCTTATAATTGTACATTGTGCATCAACTGTTTACTTGCAACTTTGGAAAATTATGTCCCCTCCCTTAAATTAGTCTGAGAACACAGAAATTACTAGCATTAACTGTTGTGTTGAGGTGGACACAATAGATACAGACAAGGCTAAATCTCAGGCTATTAATAAGATACAATACATGTATAAAGCATGTATAAAGTTGTAGCAAAAAGGCCAGAAAAAATAATACTTTTATAACAATACCTGTAGCAGGACATTTAGTCTGGTAAGTCTTCCTCCCCTCTGGTTTTACCCACTTCCCATTGATGAAGTGACCAAAGCTGCGGTCATGTTTATCCAACCAAGCCTGAAAAAAGGAACAAAATACTGTGATGATTATATCACCGGTATATATCCCACCTACTTCTCCAAAACTTTTTTCTTTCTTTTTAAAGATTGTCTTTGCTTCTAGATCTGTCTTTTAAGTCTTTTTTATTAAGAACGTATTTTGAAAACAGCAGCAACTAAGACCATGTAAGCTACATGAATATAAACAGCTGGAATTTATTGCTCTGAGAATGCAAACACACTTATCAACTGGACTGAAGAGGGCCATTAAGTTTTAAATCATTTTACTAGTATTTGAACAGAGTTTATCAGAACACACATTGCATTGTAATAAGAACACATGTCAGTCTGCCAATAATGAAAACTATGGAGTTTGGATTCAAATATTGTTGACACAAGAATCACTGTAAATATTTGAACTGAACTTTCTCCCTTAAGAAAGTCAATATTACTTTCACCTTTTTCATACTACTTTTAAATAAACACATATTCACTGACCATTTGGCACATTTATGATCTTCATGTAATCAATGCATGGTAATTTGCCATCGAAAATTGTTTTAATGGGTGGAAAATAGAGCCAATTTGTAATTCGTACTTGACTGTTTGAGGCAGAAAATACTCAAGGACGCTCTAAAACTCCACCCCCTAAAACTTGTAGATGCCAAATGCTGACTATGCATTTCCAAACTTTATAAAACTACGCATCCTGCAGTTACCGAGTTGATAGTAAATTTGTATTTATCATAGGCTGTTAGACATCAGATCTGGGCTAGATATAAAGCTGTAAGGACAAAATCAATTCGGAATATCACGACATTTTTCAGAAGTGAGCAAACAAAAGTTCGTAGAGACCAAAGTTCACTCACTTCCGGGTATGACGTCACAAACTTTCTCTGCTACTATATTTACCCAAGAACCCTTGCAAGCTTTACTTTAAGTATCTCTTAATTTTCTTCACTCACCCTTACGACGTCTGGACTTTCCGGAGCCGGTCCGTAGTCCATAGACTCGAAGATTTCGGGGACAGACTCGCCCGTGGCCCGCACGTTTCCAGTAGTGGCAGCCATCTTCACCTAGATTAAAGTCACATGACAATCCTGACCATTCCATTACGTAAAAGGTAAAATATGATTCTATTAACTTCTTCGTTATCCTTTACTAAAACGTGAAGGATTATAAACAATGCTGTAATAATAATATAACAGATATGCTTTAATCGTTGTACTATTTACAACCCAAAATTATGAATTCAAATTCTAAAGTAATAGGAGTTACAACTTTATACCACCCTTTGCCGAATGGTGGAGTCCGTATAGAATTGAAATAATGGCGGAAAGCGATTCTAGTTTGCTAAACTTGGACGATGAAGATCTCTACAAACGGCTGCTACTGGAGGTAAGTAGGCTCAAAGAGAGTTGAAGATGTTTTAATAGGTCAATATCTGTAGTAATCTGTATCTGTAGTATTGTACCTTTCTATCGTTCTGAAGCTATCATCACTCATTCAGAGATTGTAAAAAGAGAACTGAGTATTTGAAAAGTAGACCGCACAGATCTTGTAATAACAGACTATAACAATTTAATACCGTTGCATTTGTAATACTAGATGTAATAAAAGTGCAATCCTTGAGCTCCTCCAACCTCCTTGATCACACTATCAGTATGGGATGGAATGCAGTCACCAAATCACTAAATGATTAAATCTTAATACTTAACAATACTAAAGTTAACGTTACACAACTTAACTGTGCCTTAGAAAATAACTAATTCTTCATTTCTTGAGGACATTTTTTGAATGTTTTCTTTCCATCTACATCCCACAGAGTTATGAGAAGGAAGGTGCAGCAGGACTGGGGGGTCTTCAGCCACAGGAGCCGCTAGGGAGGAGGGTGGTACCTAAACCGGGTAACGTTACATAGACAAAGTTAAAAGTGTGCGTTTCATAGAAATGTATCAGCATTATTGTATTGTGTGTATTGCAGTGTGTATTGAGTTTTCTTCAAATTAATATACAATCAACATTATTGTATTATGTGTATTGCAGTGTGTATTGAGTTTCTTCAATAAATACAATCAACATTATTACATTGTGTGTATTTTAGTGTGTACTGAGTTTTCTTCAATATACAATCAACATTTATTGTATTGTGTGTATTGTACTAATTTGTGGTGTGTATTGAGTAGTTATTTGTTGAAGCAAACTTCTTTTCATTCTGTGATGCATATTTTTATTTTCAAGGTTTCTGTGTGAAAACCAAGGCAGAAAATGAACAGAAAGTTTTCATCAATGTCTGCACAGCTGAAGAGGTGATTCATCATCTAGAAGTGCAATTGCTCTGAAAAGACTTCGTCTTAAATAAGAGATTTACCATGTGTGCCTATAACAAGTATGCCTTTGATTAATTAGGCTGGAATTGATAACTTATATATATGCACATTTTAGCCCTGTCTGTGATTGAAAGTTGTGAATTAATCATTGGTAATTTTTCAATTTTTACATCCCAAATTGGTTAGCACAAAAGGTAACAATGTAGCACTGCATTTTATGGCTCCTTCCAGAGGTGGTGCCAAAAATAACTTCTCTATTTCCCCCCAGGTCCCAGAGCCCAGGGACATCAATGAAGAGGAGCTGAGAGAGATTCTGGAATCAGAGGATGCTGGGAAATATCGCATCAGTATGAGCATCGGGGAGCCACACACAGAAGTGGACAAAGGTTAGAAATCTCTGCTCAATATGTTTGAAATATTCTCTGTCAGGTCATTTTGCTCATACATGTAGCTAGTATATGTACATCTATTTTATTTCTTGTTTTCTAGGTGGAAAAGGCTGCACAGCATATGATGTGATTGTCAACCCAAATTTTTATGACAAGATGCAGGTACACATCTTTGAGTAGTTATTTGTCTTTCTGCACCCGTTGAAGCTGTTTTGTTTAAAAATCTACAACTAGAAATAGAAAACTGATACAGAAATATTGTTGTTCTTTATTCTCGTTTCTAGAAACAAGACATCTTCAAGGCCTTCTTCCTAGTGGTTTGTCTGGAGGGACTGGAACAAAAGTACCAAATGCTTCTCAGTAGAAGTCAGTATTACTGCCTTACATTGCCTACACAACATGATTTTGTTTGTCTATATGCTCCTAAGTATATATTTTTACCTGACTTTTCATTACATTTTATGGCTTGAATACTCATAACATTTTCTACATTTTTCTACAGACTACACCATCTTGAAGAATAGAAGATGTCTTGGTGCTCTTCAAGAACAGTTCCTCAGGACAAAGTCTAAACCTTTCATTCATGAGATGGAAAGGTAGCAAGATATTTCTTTCCAAACATTTGTTTTCTGAAGGAATAGGTAGATCTTCTACATGCCATTAGATGCAAAACATGTCTGGTATTTGAATTTAAAAGAGTTTTGGCCATCATTTGATACTGATGAAATTAGGAATTATTCTAAAGAGATATCTGTATTTTTCAGGGAGAAGTCTTCATCTCTTATTTCTGAAGTTGAATCAAAAGAAAGCAGGTAGGTTTATAATACAGAAATGTAGCGTCATATAGTTGTAGTCAGTAGCACGTCGGCAGAACGTACTGCACCTGCGTGAAACCCGTAATGTATTGTACATAGCACTTTGGCAGAATGTCTCATATAAGGTTGTATTCGCTCATATAAGGTTAGCATTTCAATAGTAGTTTCCAAATGGTGTGTAGGAAAAGATATCTTCTGCAACAGTCAAAATTCTGGTGCAACGTTGACCAAAACTCCAACGAAAAACACGAAAATCCATGGTTCTGCGCAGGCGCAGTACATTCTGCCGACGTGCTGTAGTCAGTGAACTTCTCTACATTATACCTATTGGTTGACTCTGTGATGTGTTTTGGCTTATTAGCCAATCACAGAAGAGGAAAGTTTTCAATCTTGTCTTCTTGCAAGTTGCAACCAATCAGCATAAGGTAGAACTTTGATTGACCAATCAGGTTGCTTGTCTTATTTACAGAATACCAGAGCCAGAGTACACAATCATCAAAGAACCAGCGGACGGTTACCCAGAATTCCTGGTGGCAGAATTCAAACTACCTGCAGTGGTAAACAGCAGTATTTTCTCTCTCAACTGGTTAATGATGGTAAAAAAATGCGGCACAACTTTGTTAAAAGTAGTATTATTTTTGTAGTATGATGATATCATGATGTATGATATGCTTTGTATCTGTTTTTTGTTTGCAGAGATCTGTAAAATTTTTGACCCTGGATGTTGGTGAGGACAGAATAGTCCTTGGTGCACGGCCTGATCTCTACCAGCTAGACATCTTTCTACCATATAACATCAACCAGGAGGAGTCAGGGGCACAGTTCAACAAGAAAACTAGGGTCTGTAAAGAAACTTTTTTTTGAAATATTGAATTCTCTTGATAATTTTGATTCTTTCTCTTCAATCATGAATGTATAGTTCATGATACATTCATACTTGAAAACTTGGTTTTGATGACATTTTTTGTCTTTTCAGACTTTGACCCTGACAATGCCAGTACAGCCAGCAAGTTAAAAGTCATCACTGTGATAGAAAGGAAAATAGCTTTTATACATGTAAACTTTGTGCTGTGTATATTTTTTGCCGTGAAAGTGTTTGTCTATGAGCAAGCTAAAATATGGACAGGAAACTTCAACAATAAAAACTGATTAAACTGTGTGCAAGAGTTTTTGCTATCCAAAGAAATGGAATATTCAAGGTCTATAAGCGTTACTTTATTCACACTTTCTCCAGTATACCATATTTCCACATAACACCAGTAAAAAAGTTAAGAGAAACTCTGAGAAAAGATAGATTTGGGTCAAACGTTAAGGTACCAAGATACAATTGAAGTCCCCAGTATTTGTGTTGAAGTTTGCTTTTTTCATGTGATGTTGTAGTGTGTTGTAGATAAAGGCTTGTTATGACTGCCACCTGGTGATAGTGGTGAAAACTGCAGTTGTGCCAATCCATTTGTAATCTGTGTTAACGCAAGGTGGTTGATTCGTGCAACAAAATTTTTTCTTGAACTCTCAATGAGTTCAATCACCACTAGAACAATACAAAACTTGTCAAAAATAAAATAGAGTCATTGTTTTTACTTTTAAACTGCACAGAAAAAATGGTCACGTTAAAACGGTTGCTCTATAAAATGTAATTAAGATATAAAAATGAGGCAAGATTAATTTGTCTAAATCTTACTGAAAGTAGAAATGTTTTATGTATTATGGTTTGTAAAACAAGAGTTATGACACACCTATCATTGACACTATGGATAAACCTATACCTACCCGCTTTGAGTGGACTATCCCATTGACCTATGACCTTACAACTAGGAAGTGTGACCAGGGGAAACCCCAAGCAAAACTATAAAAACACTTCTCAAGAAATTGCAGCCGTTTTGAGACTTCCCTCTTCTTTGGAACATCCAGGTAACTTCTTAAATTCTTCCTAACTACTTCATGATACTGTTGCCACTATATTTGTGCCTTTTGCTGTAATAAAACGTTGGCTCGAAAAGTGTAGAAAATTTCCAAGCAGATGTTGGGGGTAAATATCGTCACGTTTTCTGACTACAGTGCTTGTCTGAACGCCACTGTCGCATTCAGCTGGTTATAAATAGATTTTGCGCAAGTATACTGTCTACATATGTTGGGGTAAGAGGCTGTCAGAAAATCCAGGCTGTCAAAAAAACGTTACGATCTTCCACCGTAATATCTGCTTGGAGATTGGACTATGCTTTGTGGCGCGGTAGTTCAAAGGAAATTAACCTTGATAATTTTGTGAAATAAATATTTTTGACGTTGTACACCTTGGTTTTCAGGCTGACTTGGTGTCCATATCATCTGGTGTTTGCTAGATGAATTTCTACAGCGTTCATGAATAATGCTACAAGGTTTCACTAAACATTACCAGTTAATATATCATGGCCTTAAAAGCCATTAAGACTGTTGTAACTTCTTGTACGAAGTCCTGTTGATATTTGAGGGATATGAGAATGTCTGGGCTTTTGAATAGGAGCAAAGGGATGAGGTAGTAAGTGAGCAAGTTTTCATTAAAGCCTCGTCTCCCTTGCTAGAATTGTTTGCATTGATATAGAATTATGACTCACACTCATAAGCTATTCCTGATACTTACACCACAGTTCTTATTATAGTGCTGATAACCCAAGATATCTGTGCTGGAAATATAGTACTTTGAGTCTTAATAGGAAATTTACCAGTATATACTGTGTGGTAAGTAATTTAAAATTTGTGTGTGTACCAAAGAAGTAGAAACCCTTTGGTAGCTCAGAATAAAGTTTTAAAAGGGATTAGGCAGTGCCAACATTTTTAGAGGTCCGTGTGCCCTCAAAAAAACTTACCTCAAATAACCTACATTTTTCTTCACCAAATAGACGGACAACTTCACTTTAACTTTAACAATTGCAGCATTTTTGAAGGGGCTATAATGCCAGCGGACACGTGTGACACGAGAATACGACACTGGAAACTACGTAGTTTCTTATGACGTTATGTCATTATAGACTGGATACCATCCTACGTGGGTTTACATCTCGCTATGTGTTGTCAGAACGTTATTGGCTAGTCAGCCATTGGAACAGATGACGGCCTTAAAGAGTCTGGTATCCAGGCTACAATCTTTCCGATGACGTAGTTTCTATGGGTGTTTGGGTTGACCAATAGCACGGAGTCTGCATGTTCTTTTTCTGTACATTGTAATCACCCTTTTTGATTTTACATAATTTGTAATCAGATCCAATTAACCGGAAAACATAATCAGTTGGTATCTGAATTATGTGTCATGCGTCTTAAACATTTTTGAATTAACCCTATTGCATAATGAGTGCTAAAAATTTTGCGTAAAGTGTGATGCAATACCCCCATGCAGACCCCCACTAGACCTATGACATAGTTTCCAATGGGGTTACCCTCTGGTACTTACTAATGACATGGTTTCTATGGAGGAAGGGGGTTTCCCACTATACTTATGACATGGTTTCCATGCGTTCCGATATATTTTCCTTGGGCCCTTGGTGCACATTGTATAGTTCGTTGACTCGTTTACATGTAACGTTACATGTGTACGTTTCTTTTCTGACAGCGTTCAAGTTGCAGAAATTTTGGTAGGTGAGAAAACTTTTGTTTTGGTGGTTTTGCTGTTGTTCACTCTATTTTTAGAGATGGATATACAGTGTACTTTTAGCCATTTAGCAACATAATCAAGGGAGGTTTGGGACCATAATAGGAGACTAAACTTCTTGAAATATTACCTGCAAAGTTGAGGGATGCATCATCTCTTAATTGGTGATTAGAGTGTCCCAAGAGAGAACAAGCATTTCAAGCCTTGACTAGGGACAAGATCATGATTTTATAGATCATCTTTCAGTTGTTTTATTGTAAATACTACAATTCTGAAATCTGCCTTGTTCAGGTGAGAGATGCATTGTCTCTTAATTGGTGCTTATACTTTCCCAAGAGAGAACCCAAAGCTGTGCTATGAAAGCCTTTTACTCCCTGATTAGACACATGAGGATTATGTTTTTACATAAGCATCTTTCAGTTGTTTTATTATAAACACACTTCTGAAATATGACCTATAAAAGTTGCAAATTTGAAACATGCTTAGTCTCAAGAGAACTATAACTCAGAAGCTGTGTCAAAAATAAAAATTGCTGTTTTTTTGTAAGAAGAACAAATAACTTGAGTGGGGTAGTGAAAACTGGTTGTCAGATCGTCTGTGGCACCCCTATGGTCTTTCTTGCAGTATGCTACATGTATGTCCCTTTTCTTCTCATGGTCTGGGGTAAATCTTAAGTGCAAATGAGAGGGAGCTACAAATTAGCTGCTATAGTGTACCTATCTCAAATTACCTTCTTGATAAAGGTCCAAGAATTAGTTTGAAGATGTCTGATTCTCTACTTTCATCATCAGGTGCGTAATTGGTAAGGTAAGGGCCCGATCACACTCTTTCTAGAGAAGTAACTTCGTTGATAAAATGCAACAAGAAGCCATAGGCGACAATTCTCCGTGAAGTATTATATATTGCAACAAAAAGAAGTAGCCATTGGCGACAATTCTCTGTGAAGTGTGATAAATCGAACAAAGAAAAATTGTTTAAACGCGCGTCGGCTCAGTCATCTTAAGACGCAACAACCAATCAGAGATGCGAGATGCCTACACGTGACGCGGGAAGGGCGCGCGATGCCCGAAATATTTTTGCGTCAATATTCAGCGCCGTGATTCAAGAGATTAATACCCGGAAACAATTTTTTCTTGTTTTGAACGCATTAACATGCATTTACGCTAATCTAGTATGATTCAGGGTTACTTTTTTTAAACCTGCCATGGCCAGATTATCTAAAGATGTGTGTATTGTGTGTACAATCTATAGAAAGAGAAATGTACATCAGGTCCGATCATCCGATTTTCACGTTTCGGTTTTTTGGACTCGGTTCATGAACGTATTTTGGTTTGGCTCCTGGAATGTGCGAAAAAAATGACTCCCGGGACTGTCTACAGGGAACACTCGCACATTCGCGGTGTATCAGGACAGCGCGACTGGTCGTCATTAGCGCAGTAACAGTTGCATAAACGGACGAAACCATTTCAAAGAAATGGGGATGTTTCGAAAATAAGCATTTACTCCAATATCAAAACAGCTACGGTAAAAATAAAAAGACGTGCATCATCCCGGACATAATGCAACACCACATGCGAAATTACACAGAAATGCGACGTACGGAAGAATGCGTTTTGGCTGCGAACATCTTCCAAAAAACTTGGCATCTCTTAACCATGGGCAAAAACATCTGGAACCACTTATAAAAACCACCCCGTATCTGCATGAACTTTTTTGAACCCCACTGCTATTCCAAACAACGCGTTTTTCTGGACCATTCCAATTCGCCTCGTAATTGTAGGGGTGCGTCTGCGATATTACATTGACCGCGAAAGCAGCAACGGCAAAAATACACATTCGTGCATCAACACGGGCATGCCCGCAGACGGCGTATAAAATTGAGTGCCGATTACACAAAGAGAACCCAGTGTTTTGACTGCGAACATGAAAAATCAGCCGATTACAACACTCCGTCCGGAGGTCCTGACCTCCTTCACGGAGTAACAAGGGTATAGGATTTTCTTCTAACACAACCAGTAAGGTTCTCACCTGCTTACGTTTCGATGTCTATCAGACACCTTCCTCAGAGCTTCTGACTGGAGTTCTGCAATTCGCCGCTATTTAACGCCAAAGTAGGTGGCGCTTTTGCGGCGAGAATGCAATCCCAAACGTGGCTGAGCTTGTATCCCCCCTCGTCCCGGTTCATCACTGGGGTAGACTTCCTTATCCAGACTGCTTCTTTAATCCAACGGATTCTTCTGTTGTCCTCCCTATCTATGACCCTGGCACCCTCCCAGTCTATCACACAATTGTTTCTGGCAACATGGTCTGTGACTGCCGATTTCTTCTCTTCTTTTTGTGCTTGTTGTTTCTGGGAGCGTGTATATCTTACGGTTTCGCTGTTGTCTGCCTCTTTCCTGTGTTCTTCCAGTCTTTTGCCAAAGGTCCTGCCAGTTTCTCCAATATACACTTGATCACAGCTTGATCACAGCAAAGAGAAACACAGCACATCAGAAGAGCCCTCATCCGATGTGGGTACCCAGAATGGACCTTTCGGAAGGTGGAACGGAAAGAGAAGAGGCCAAAGCAGACAGACAAGAACAAGAAAGAGGGGGAGAAAACTAGGGCCATGGTGATTATCCCATATGTGAAAGGAGTAACCGAACC